AAACCTGGTTAAAGTCAGGTTAGTTTAAACCTGAATAAAGTCAGGTTAGTTTAAACCTGAATAAAGTCAGGTTAGTTTAAACCTGAATAAAGTCAGATTAGTTTAAACCTGAATAAAGTCAGGTTAGTTTAAACCTGAATAAAGTCAGGTTAGTTTAAACCTGAATAAAGTCAGGTTAGTTTAAACCAGTTCAAAGTCAGATTAGTGTAAACCTGATTAAAGTCAGGTTGTTTTAAACCTGGTTAAAGTCAGTTTAGTTTAAACCAATTTAAAGTCAGATTAGTTTAAACCAGTTTAAAGTCAGATTAGTTTAAACCTGATTAAAGTCAGGTTAGTTTAAACTAGTTTAAATTAAGGTTAGTTTAAACTAGTTTAAATTAAGGTTAGTGTAAACCTGATTAAAGTCAGATTAGTTTAAACCAGTTTAAAGTCAGGTTAGTTTAAACCTGTTTAAACCTGATTAAAGTCAGGTTAGTTTAAACCAGTTTAAAGTCAGATTAGTTTAAACCTGATTAAAGTGAGGTTAGTTTAAACTAGTTTAAAGTCAGGTTAGTTTAAACTAGTTTAGTCAGGTTAGTTTAAATAAAAACTAATAAATAACCGAACAATTGAACTACATCCAGAAAAACTTCCACGTTCTGTTTTTAATTAAATAACTCAGAGAGGCACCTGACTCCGCCCACTTATCATACTCACTCTGGTCTCTGGGTCAACCGTCGCTGTGGCTCCACCCACTGTCACACACAAGTTCTTACTGTCTTTGAAGTCCACACAGTTTTCCCCAAACATGTCCCTGCAACACAACACAGTCTCATTAAATAGAAGGCTTTTATTTTGAAAATAACTGTGTATGTGTGTGCTCGCACTCACTGCAGCATGAGCTCCAGCCGCTCCATAAACACCTCCATGTCGAAGGCTTCCCTCTTGCCTTCCAGAACTGAAACAAACAAACAAGAGTCAGAAATTCCAGAGTCCTTGAACGCACTGTGGCAGGGTGTCATGTTGCATTTACTGACACTTCTGAGCTTTGGGGTTAGACTGGACTTCCAGGACCACGGTGGCGACGGCATCGGCGTACATGTCGTTGAGCGGGTTGGCGAGCCACTGAGGAAATAAAAGTTTTAGTTTAATATTTGGTTTTCATTCTGTACAACAACAACAACAACGTGTGTCTGACCTCCAGCAGCACCATGCCGGCTTCATGAACCAGAGTGACGCTCTGAAAGATCCTCACAGTGATTTTCTCTGCCCCCTCCACCTGCTGCACATCACCTGTACACACAAACACAACACGTTCCATAAACAACACAACACACCAATGAAGCTGAGGTTGTTTTTGTTGATCGTCTTCGTTAACTTACATCACGTAAAAATAATCTGAGTCTGTAAGATTCTTTAAACATCAGAGTTCAGAACATGAAAACGATCACTTCCTTCTGTAAAACTAAAAGCTGACGTTTGTCGAGTCGTGAAGAAAACATTCTTCACTTGGACTGAACCGAACCGACTCAGTGGGGTCAAAGGTCAACTGGGGTCAGTTTTTATTTACCTGCCAGGTTCTTCAGCTGACTGACGAGCAGAGAGATGGGTCCAGAGAACGGGATGGCCTGAGTCTGGGTCACGGTGCCGACAGACAGATCTGTGTAGTCTGAAGAGAGGAGCAGAGACAAACTGTCAGGACGGAGGGCCCTGAACGCAACGAACGCAACACAGTTTAAAAACACAGGGCCCTGAACACAACACAGTTTAAAAACAGAGGGCCCTGAACGCAACACAGTTTAAAAACACAGGGCCCTGAACGCAACACAGTTTAAAAACACAGGGCCCTGAACGCAACACAGTTTAAAAACACAGGGCCCTGAACGCAACACAGTTTAAAAAC